GGGGGAACCATTTGGCGCCCCGCCGATCAGCTGTTTTCAATCATCGTCCAACGAAAAAATCCATTGAATCATCGCTATAGTGATTGCAAAAAAGGCATCGTTAAGCGATTTCAGCATCAAGCAGGGTAATCGTCAAGCAGGGCACCACTTTATTTGTAATGACCTGCCTTAGCCATGAGTGTCTGTTAAGCATGTGAAGAGTGACTTTCCTTCACTAGTGAGTTACTGTAACTAAGCCCTTTGTTGTTATGTGGCATCAACCTAGAACTGACTTATAACATTCCTAATAGGGCTTTCAAAGTAAGTGAGATTTAAGGAATAGTTTTACCAGTTCCACACCTCCAGTGAGTTTCTCTGGTTGAACAGGGATTTGAATTGAGACCTCCTGAGTCCTAGTCTGTCATGCTGTCTACTACACCAGTGTCTAACTAGGCTAGAAATTATGGTTTTCAAATACTCCAATAGCTATGTTACAAATCATACATTAGTTTGTGGCCCAAGTTGGAGTATAGGTACTGGAAAACATTGGACTGAGAGGGTTGCTATGTACTGATATTGTAAACAGTACAGTAGCAGAATAGTAAACATTTGTAACTGAGAGGTGATCAGTTTCCAATAGCTATGTTACAAATCATGCATTAGTTTGTGGCCCAAGTTGGAGTATAGGTACTGGAAAACATTGGACTGAGAGGGTTGCTATGTACTGATATTGTAAACAGTACAGTAGCAGAATAGTAAACATTTGTAACTGAGAGGTGATCAGTTATGGGTGCAGTAGAGAAGCTAGAATAGCATGACAGGACAAAGCCATGTATGATTTTGAAAACTTAATAATTTTCCAGAGTTGGACTACGTGATATACTTCAGATAATTTTGGATTAATATTTTCTCATTCCTGACTATTGGCTATATTAGCTGGATTTATAGGAACTAGAGTTTAAAAACCATGTCTGGAGGGCACTGAGTTGTCTGACCCTCAGCGGTTGGACATTTCCTGAATATTAACAAGGGAGAATTCTTTGCCAATATATTAAACAAGAATCCAGCAGGATGTAACCCAATATGAATCTGCTATTTATTCTAGACAATACAGTATATAAATAAATATAGCAGGTATAAAGATAATTAAGCAAGACAGAATTATCATATAATGCATAACACTGTAAACAGAGAACCAATACGTATTGTTATTATGTGCTGTCAAGTTGTTTCTGACTTCTGGTGACCCTATGAATTAGTGACCTGAAAAAGTTCCTTTCAACAGCAGCCCTGTTCAACTCTTGCAAACACAGAAAAACTATTGTAAGGGGCATAACACTTCACAAAAAGATGTATCAACCAGAGTGTGTAAAAATAAATTATTTAAATGAACACACACACACACACACACAGAGTATAAAATCATCAAAAAAATCTGACTTTAAAATTTAAATCATGATTTCAAACAAATCCACCCTGGTAACAACCGATAGTGAGATCTGAGCTCTTTCCAATTTTGCAAGTCTTAGTCAGGCATCAGAGTCTTCTGTTAAGAACAGTTAAATGTATCATACATTAACCAATGTCAAATAGTGTGTATTATTAGTGGGTAAGCTGATCTCTGGTTCTGGGGTACATACTATTATTATTAGCTTTATTTATATGGTGCATTTCTCCCAACAAGGAACCCAAAACAGCTCACAACATTAAAATTCAAACAATTTAAAAACACAGTGAGTTAAATATTAAAAGATAAATTAAACAATATATGATTTGATATACAATTAAAAGATTAAAACATAAAAACGTGTTAAAACTTCTGCTAAAATGGGGTTCAGGGATTCAATTATAATTGTTAAAAGCCTGCCTGAAGAGATGGGTCTTTAGAGATGGGTCTTTAGCTTTTGTGTGTCTCATTAATATACCATGGAAATCTCTCTGTGTGTGTATGTTTTAAATTCTTGACAATTGAAATGTATTCAGTTAGCAAGCTAAAACCCAATTAAATGTATTGCCCTTCAGTTCAACAGTGCCTTTCCAGATGACGTGCAAAGCCTGGTTATAAGTCGTCCTTGCTTGGTGATATCATCTCTCCCTTGGCCAGTGGTGTAACCAGGGCCAGGTTTTATTTCCTGGTACATTGACATCACTTCCCCCTGAGCTTACCGTGAAGTTCAAGAGTGGCTGGTTAAATGGAGCAAGAATGTTTGGCTCTTATTGCCACCTGTATTCAAACCTCTCAGCTGCTAGTCCAGCAGTGGATACTCAACAGACGGACAGTGATTTTTGCAATAGCAAGGATTCTACAGCGCAGGCGCTTCCGCCGATCAGCTGCTGTACTGCGGCGTATACTCTCAGCCAGTGTTAGACGTAAGAGAGCCCTGCTACGACTACACCGGAATGCCATTGTCTCTGTGGTTACAATGGTCTACTCATCTTCTCCTGCTCTGCACTATGAGCACGAGCTAATGGCCTTGTCTGAGCGATCACACTGGATGCTCCCAAGATGTAGTGAATGGTGGGAGCGGATGATCTCTTCGGAACAGGATGACAGATGCTGGATTTCTTTGTTTCGTATGTCACGCTCTACCTTGATGTATATTGCTGAGGAGCTGCGCCCTGCCTTGCAGCGTCGAGACACCGGCATGCGCTCACATATACCCGTTGAAAAACGGGTTGCCATGACCATTTGGAAGCTAGCTCACCATGATAGCTACAAGACTGTCTCGGAGCTCTTTGGGGTCGGGATTTCATCAGCTTGTTCAATATTTGAAGAGGTGTGTGAGGAAATCAACAGCAGGCTTCTGGCCCAAACCATTCAGTTGGGAGATCCACAACAAATAATGGAAGGCTTCAAGGAGATGGGCTTCCCTAACTGTATTGGTGCAATAGATGCGATACATATCTCCATCCTTTGCCCTCCTTTCTCTGCTGACTCCTACATTAATTGCAAAGGTTTCTATTCAATGGTGTTGCAGGCCCTGGTTGATAGTAAATCCCGTTTCACTGATATCTATGTTGGTTTTCCTGAGCGATGCCATGATTCCCGCATCCTGCATAACTCTCCATTTTTCAACAGCATGGATGAGGGCACCTTTGGGCCACAGACTCCAACAGTAGTGGAAGGTGTTTCAATGACTCCTGTCATTATTGGGGATTCTGCATACCCACTTCGCCCCTGGCTCATGAAGCCATACCCAGTGCCAAAAACAGAGGCTCAGGAGAAATTCAATGAGAGGCTTGCCAAGTGCCGAGTGTGTGTAGAGAGAGCGCTTGGAGTCCTGAGAGCTCGCTGGAGATGTCTGCAGATGAGACTGGATGTACGAGAGAAGCTCATCCCAGTAGTCATAGCTACCTGCTGCATCCTGCACAACATCTGTGAGATCAAAGGCGATGAGTTGCTGGAACCACTGGAAAGTCCTGCAGCTTCTGAAAACCAGAGTGCTTCAGCCAGGCCAAGGGTGCCATTGTCAGAAGCTGGACTTACTAAGAGAGCTTGCCAGATCAGAGCAGCTTATTGCTCCTATTTTGAAAAGAACCCTTTGTAAAAGGTTGTTTGCCTGTGTCATTTCTCTGGGTGGCATGGTGTGACTATAATGCATGTACCATGAAATACTAAAGTCTGCTATGTGACACCTGGTTTTATATGCATCAAATAAAAGATTATGTTTTGGTCATTGCTTTATTTTGGAACATTTTTTAAAAAACAGTATTGCTATTATTCACAGTCATGGTTTGTCTTGCATATTCTGAGACCAGGGTCAGATAGGAATGAGGGAGGTTGTGGTCTAAGAGTCAAGTACTATAAAGCCCCTTTATTCTTATCTGAAGCATCAGTAGAGATATCACACTCCAAGCTGACTTATAGCCAGAGCAAATGAAAATCACTTGATTCTTTACATAGCCCTTAGGTGAGGAACATTTTTATTTCAAGTGCCGAGTGTGTGTAGAGAGAGCGCTTGGAGTCCTGAGAGCTCGCTGGAGATGTCTGCAGATGAGACTGGATGTACGAGAGAAGCTCATCCCAGTAGTCATAGCTACCTGCTGCATCCTGCACAACATCTGTGAGATCAAAGGCGATGAGTTGCTGGAACCACTGGAAAGTCCTGCAGCTTCTGAAAACCAGAGTGCTTCAGCCAGGCCAAGGGTGCCATTGTCAGAAGCTGGACTTACTAAGAGAGCTTGCCAGATCAGAGCAGCTTATTGCTCCTATTTTGAAAAGAACCCTTTGTAAAAGGTTGTTTGCCTGTGTCATTTCTCTGGGTGGCATGGTGTGACTATAATGCATGTACTGTACCATGAAATACTAAAGTCTGCTATGTGACACCTGGTTTTATATACATCAAATAAAAGAGTATGTTTTGGTCATTGCTTTATTTTGGAACATTTTTTAAAAAAAACAGTATTGCTATGATTCACAGTCATGGTTTGTCTTGCATATTCTGAGAACAGGGTCAGATAGGAATGAGGGAGGTTGTGGTCTAAGAGTCAAGTACTATAAAGCCCCTTTATTCTTATCTGAAGCATCAGTAGAGATATCACACTCCAAGCTGACTTATAGCCAGAGCAAATGAAAATCACTTGATTCTTTACATAGCCCTTAGGTGAGGAACATTTTTATTTCTAGATGTTTTGGCTGTCAGTTCTCTGAAGGCTGATGCAGCATGATCAATTGTAAAGAGTTGCCTTGGGTCTTTTAAAGGAGAAATTCAGGGTAAAATATTTTAGATAAATAAAGGGTTGTGGGAATTGGAGTCCAAAGCATCTGGAGTACTAAGGTTCCCTGTACCTGCTGTGTCCTGTTTAAAAGTAGACTATGGCTGCAGTCCTTTACATAACTGAGGGAGTAAGCCTTTCTGAACTCATTGGGACTTGTTTACAGCCTACGTTAGTATCCTATGGTGATTCCCCATTCCTTTTGTCTAAAACTCCATGTTTAGGGGATGAGTTCCTTCTCCAGATGTTCTGTCTGATGTGGGGGTTAGAGATCTTGCAGATGTAGACTGGCAGTTCAGGATATATAATTGTAATAATTTAAAATATTTTAATGATTATGATGATAACAGAAACAATACTATCTACCTATTTAATGTTTAAACCTCCTAGTAATAATATTTTGGTATTACAACCAATTACATTTTTGCATCCCTTGGAAAAATTTTAACTCTTGATTTTGAGAAAAGGGGCTGTTGCAATGCTGTAACACACAACATACAAATGGGAATAGGTGGGTATTGCCAAACTGTTCTTTTCCATTGTTTCTGGTTCTCCAGTTGTCTCTCCAGCAAGTATTTTGGCTTCTTGTAGTGCTGGAATGATACTACAACCTTTTTTGCCCTCACCCTTAGGGCTGACCATGGTCATCTGCTCTCTGCTGGGCTCCCTGCGTGTCTGCCTGCAACGACATCCACCTCTGGTCACCTTCTTCTTCTGCCTCCTTTCATTAGCTGTTGCCTGTGTTGGCTTTTCTATCTACATCCAGTCACATGAGGTTCAGAATCCTGATGTTAACAAGGTGAGGTAGAGATGGTAGCAGAACACTGGTCCCTTGTACTGCTTGTCTAATGGTCCACTGCATAAGCAGCTGGAACTTTTCTGCTCTTGCATGAGCAACTATCCAGGATCTCCTTGTGCAAGCTTAAGCCGTTTGCTGGTACAGGGCGATCTCTGATGTGTTTAACGGCAAGCTGAAGACTGCACACACCTAGGGATCTTAAACAGAAAATCAGACCAAAGGAATTTGGATGGAATTGGTTGATTGTAAGAAGCAGAGGAAATATTTTAGATGGCATGGAGAGGAAAATGTTACACATGCCATTTCTTCTTAGTCTCTTGCTAACTGTTCAAATCAGGGTGAATACATTTTGACCCCACAGAGATTTTGAATGTGAGTTACCAGAAGCCAAAGCCAGCTTGGCCAGTGGCAAGACATTGTAGGAATTGTAGGCTAAAATTTCTGGAGGGCCAGAAGTTCATCAACCTTCATTTAGGTCAAGTTTCATCAACTGAGGCAGTGAGTGGTCACTATTATCTGCTCAAAGTGAATACATAGAATTCCCCTAATGATTATAAGCTAGGCTAGGGGAAAGAAAAATTGACAATGCCAGCTGTCCATTAAAGAAGCAGAGCCAGTTGCCTGAGTTACCCAAATCTGAGAGATTTCACTGATTCAGTCTGGTGTTAGGTGCTACTTTTTTACTGCTGTGTCCCAAATTATACATTTGTGAATTACAATATTACAGGACTGGTTTTTAAAACAAAAACACTTTCATTTTTTGGAAGGAAATTAAAGTGTCTTTGAAAAAGTAGCTCTGAATGTTACATTGCCTAGAGAAGAATCAAAACCTTATTAACTTTAACTTTTAAATCAGTTGTATCATCATATTCAAATATCCAGAAATTCTTGACAGCTCTTAGAAATAGTGGTTATCTTTCTCTTTTCACTCTGTTATGATTCTGAGGGGCAACATAAAAACAATAAAGCAGAAAGAATTAAGATTAAATTATCATCCCTTCCCCCTCTTTAAGGACTGGAACTCTCTGCTAAAGTCTCTGGCACATTTAATGTTCTGTGTCCCAAATAAGACCCATGAAGATGCCTCATCTCCTTCAACAACTGCTGCTGAGTCCCTAACAACTGTCACTGTCCTGGTTGGCCTGACCTTTGACCTCCGCAATGGGACATATCCTCCCAATGGTACACACCTAGGTTTGACAGTCAGTGCAACAGAACTGGGTGTCAAAGGTGAGTGCCTTCCACTTCTGAGAGATTGCAGTATCCTTTCAAAACAAAACAAAACTCCAGCAACCAGATTTCCTGTCTATCTTCCTTTGATCTTCCTTTCCAACAACTCCATACACAGGTCCAGGTACTCAAGAATCAGTCCATCTCTTGGCTGTCGTCATGAACTCTGTCTCTCATGAAAGCTGCCTTAGCATCACTGCACCTTCATCCCTTATCCCTAAGACCAGGTAAGCCACAAACAGAGGACTTTAGTTGCAAGACGTTCCTACCCCATTAATGCAATGCTCTTATCTTGTCTCCAGACCACCACCTAAGTGTGTGATAACAGAGACAAACATGCATCTGGAAGAGCTAGGGATTTGCTACCAGTCACGTTATCAGGACAGTCCTGCCCTGGCCAGCATGTTGGACCAGGTAAGAAAGATGTGGAGGGGGCAGAAACATAGGATTGGGACCCCGAGTTTCTTCGTGTTGGAAAATGATTACTAGGGAAAATACACTCATTGTTGCATTCTTTTCAGGTGGATCGTACCCTCTGCAGCCAACGTCTCCTGATAAGTGGTGCTTTTCTTTTTTGCCTTTGTGCCATGCTGTGTTGTGCAGCTGGCCTGTGCTACCCTCTACCTAGAGACAAGTGGGGGCAAATCTAAGTAGGACCAGCCAATGGCATACCTTCATTGCTAAATCCAGAGACTGAATGGCCCTGGCCATGTGCCCTCATTGCTCTAGGCACCTGAATCATGCAAAACCAATTGCACTGTGGCTATGGAGATAGCTCACAGAGAGATGGGGTACTTGAACTGTGAACAAAGTTTAACTGCAGTCTAGGTACACAGTGAGGGGACTTGATAAACTTCTGAGAAAGAATGATCCAATAAATTAGATGTAAAAGACTGAGGTCTTTGTATTCTGAGTGGTTATATCACTGGCATAAATTGAGCCATGCAGTATTTCTCAGATGGTTACTGGGTGCATGTCTGAGAAAGACAAGCAGCATGATAGCACAACAATGCTGAATGGGAATACCATGAAGTTGGTAATAAATGTTACATGAAAATTAGTAAAAAGCAAAGTGTGCTGCTTATATACTGCCCCATAGCACTTCAAGCACTCTCTGGGTGGTTTACAAGTTAATTATGCAGGCTACACACTGCCCCCCCCCCCAGTGAGCTGGGTACTCATTTTACCGACCTCAGAAGGATAGACGGCTGAGTCAACCTTAAGCTGCTACCTGGGATTAAACCCCAGGTCGTGAGCAGAGTTTTGGCTGCAATACAGCAGTTTTACCACTGCACCACGAGGCTCTTAACACAACCTCACTACTGCTTGCCCTACTGATACTAGAAAATTGTTATAAAAGCCAAGTCTGAGTAACATTTTACCGTATTTTTCGCACCATAAGATGCACTTTCCCCCCACAAAACGGGTGGGGTGGGGTGGAAAGTCTGTGAGTCTTATGGAGCGAAGAAAACAGATTATATTTTCCTGTTTTCTTCTAAAAAATTGGTGCGTCTTATGGAAAGGTGTGTCTTATGGAGCGAAAAATACGGTATTTATATACTCTTTAAATTAAAGATAAACCCAACATTTTAAAAATATAAAATACCCAATGTATCAACAATACATTATATATTATCATAAACGTAATTAAATGAGGCAGTTTTAAAGCAGCAGACTGAAAGCAGAAAATAACAGCCAGTGAAAGAATTTTAGCCACCATCTAAAGGTTAAAAGAAGGGTTGTATTCCCCATAGGAAGGTATTCCACAATTGTGGTACTGCTACAAAGAAGTGCCTCGCTTAAGAACCTGCCCACCTGATGTTGCCTAACAATGGACAAAAGTCTCCAAAGCTGATCTGCAGATTAACACAAGCACTATGTAATAATATGTAAATTATCACCATTCACATAATATGTGAATTATCCTTCACAGTCACTTAATAAGAACCCCTGTACATTGTTTTCAGAAGATGTATAGCCAAGGTTGTGAGCCAGGGAGCAGTAATCTAAAACTGAGAAGTAGCCACCAAGAATTTCTACTCATAATTTTGATAGACATACACTCATAATTTTGATAGACATGCAAAGTATGTGAAGACAGCCACCAAGAATTTCTCCTTACACACACTCATGATTTTGATAGACATGCAAAGTATGTGAAGACAGCAATGCTGATCAGGCTTAAAAACTAGTGACAGCACACAGGGTAGGGAGAGAATGAAGGTTTATGAAAATTATATTTATTTATGGTGGATGAACTTGGAACCTTGAAGTGTGAGTGAAATGTGCATGATACTTCATTGGCTTGGATATGATTAGCCACCTGTTAAGCCTGAAATATTCAATCTGAAGTCCTAGAATTTGGCAGTAAAGAAATCCTGCTAGCTAATTGTTACATCTCACTTACCCAAGTAATAAGGAATTACAAAATAGAAGCCACTCACTGATGTGAAATCAAAAATATTGAATTTTTAGAAACAATGCCATATATGCTACTGACCTACATACTCTCAAATTGTATACTTAGAGACAAGCAGCCTCAGCTTTAAACTGATTTGCACTACTAAATAAATATCCTTAATGGCTTGGGTCCAAGCTGTCTCAAGGACAAGTAATAAGGAATTACAAAATAGAAGCCACTCACTGATGTGAAATCAAAAATATTGAATTTTTAGAAACAATGCCATATATGCTACTGACCTACATACTCTCAAATTGTATACTTAGAGACAAGCAGCCTCAGCTTTAAACTGATTTGCACTACTAAATAAATATCCTTAATGGCTTGGGTCCAAGCTGTCTCAAGGACTGCACCTCCATCCTTAATGGCTTGGGTCCAGCTGTCTCAAGGACTGCACCTCCCTTTATGAGACTGTTCAAATCTTAAGATCATTAGGAGAGGCCTTTCTCTCGATCACACCACATTCACAGGTGAATTTTGTGCGGACACAGGGCCTTCTCTGTAGCTGTTCCCAAGCTTTGGAACTCCCTTCCATAGGAGGCCAAGTTGACCCCAACTTTGCTGTCATTCTGCAAGCAGGTGAAGACCTTTCTCTATCCCATAGTGACTTGCTGTATCTTACTGATTTGAATGTGTTTTGGTGTTGCTTTTGTTTACCAGTTTAGTGTGACAGTTATTTGATCCATTTAGTATCTTCATATTTACTGTTGTTAGCGTCACATACTGTCTTTTAATGATATAAGCCAACTTGGGTCCGTTTTAAGGAGAAAGATGAGGTAAACATATTTTAAATAATAAAAATAAATAAACCCAGTCAAATAAAACAGCAGCAAATTAGATCAAATTACGAAGTCAGATTTAGCTTTATCATCCTGACTTGGGCTTCTGAATACTTAATTGTCCCTTTAGGGTTGCCAGACAGTCCTCATACTGCACTAAGAGCAGAAACCAGAGTTAACAGAATGTAGTTGTCTGGAAATAGCTTCCTTGCCTACTCATTGCTTAATGACTAAAATATTGAGCCCTCTTTTCTTTATCCTCAATCTTAACAATAATATCAACCACCACCACCACCTTTGAACTGCAGAAATGGAAGAGACCCTGTGGATCATAAAGTCCAGCCCCTGTCAATGAGGCCCAGTGGGGAATTGAACTCCCAACCTCTGGCTCCACAGTCAGAGACCTAAACCACTGAACTATCCATCAGTACCTTTCTCTGTCCAATTCCATATTACCAAGGCCCATAATTTTCTCAAGACCTTGCTACCTCTACTCTTTGCTGCACTGTTTCTCAAGGTTCTTCTGCCTAGGACTTGTACTAGAAATAGTAAGGTACCACCTTATTCAAAAGCTTTTGTGTCTAAACACACTTCTAAAATATACTTTGATGTGTATAAGAGCTTATAAAAAAATAAAATCTACCTTGTTGGTTTCTGATCTAAACTGTTATTCAACAGACTAACACAGCTGCCTACTATTTTACCTTATCCCCAAGGACAAGTCTCTTCTTCCATATGCAGGATAAGGTCCCCATTACCTTTACAATGTGAAATATGACCAAAGCTCTATCTAGCTTCTTGATGGTGCAATCTTTTGCCCCAGTTCCCCCCTTTGCCTTCAGGTTTCTTTTCTTGAGCTCTTTTCCCTTCCTTCAAAACCTATGACTCTGAGGTTCCTGTCTATTAGCTTCTGGTCTCCTCTCGCCCATTGGGGACGTTTTACTCCCTGCCCATATTGATACCTCCCTTTCCCTCCGGAAAGGTGGGCTGCACACTGAAGGGTCCAGACCATCGCACCCCCTCAGCCAATCAGCCTCAGAAGCGTCGCCCAGGTAAACAATCGCGTCCTGACTTGCTTTATTTGCATCGGGCAGGTTAAAAAAAAAGGAGGCCAATTCGCACGACGCGCTGGGCGGAGATGCTAGGTGTCACCCTGGGAAGTATTTGTTTGCTTTCTCTCCATTGCCATGTTGGAGTTTTACCAGCAAACGGGCGAGTGAGCGGCCTTTCTTTGACAGAAGAGGAGGGCCGCGTCTGTCCCACCTTCGCCGGCATCACCGCGGCGTCACTGGTCTTATATGAGGTGAGGGAAAAGGACACCCTGGAGACCCGAAGGTTTCGTTGGATAAATAGAGGGCCTCACCCTGTCCTTCCCTCAAAGGGTTTGGGGGGGGGGGCGCTTGCGTCCTTGCAGTGACGGTTTAACGGTCGCCCACGGCACCCTTCACCCCCTCAGTGAACAGCTGTCGCTCCCTCCTCTTCTACGCATGCGCGCCGCCGCTGGTGCCTGAATCCTGCCCCAGTAACAGCTGAGCGGGAGGAACTCCGCCCATAGCAACGGCAACCTACCAATCACGCCCTGCCTCGAGCAGCTTGTCCCAATCAAAACGCGCTTGGGGGGGATGTGGTGTCCCAATCTGACTCCCTTCATTGAAAAGGTCTTTTTTTTAAAAAATTATTAAGCCAACCAGGACACCAAACATCTCTACATTCGCCCTTCCCGAAATCCTGCCTCCAATCCCATCGAGTCTTTCTCACTCCTAATACATGCCAGAGCCCCTATTTTCACTTTGTCAAGGAAAACAAATCCCGCCCACAAATACTGCAACAAGCCAATGAACGCAAGCCTCTAGCCTCTCTTACAGCGCATGCGCTACATCTCATTCAGTAATGCCGCCCTGTAACTCTTCATAACACTCGCTCCTTTGGCTCACTCCCCGTTCTCCGGAACACCCTTTGTTGCACGACGCATGCGTACATCGCAACCCCTTCCCGTTCTACGCATGCGGCCGTTCTTTGACTTCTCGACAGTCTTCGGCGCGCAGCCCGCTTTGGACGCATGCGCTTTTCCGCCGGTTCCTCCCTCGGCTCACCGCGCGTGCGTTCACTTCCTCAACGCTCCCTTTTTCCTTCTGCGCATGCGTCTGAGCTTCTCTCTGCCTTGGTTCCGGTCTGGCTCCTGCCTTCGGCGCCATCTTGGATTTGGGGACAACTGGAGTGAGTGAGGGAGAGGGAGGGAGCAGGCGGAGGAGCCGGAGGAAGCAAGAGAGGGGAGGGGGGGCCGGATAGAGCCAGGCCCCCCACCCCCGCAGCACCCCAGTGTAGAGAAGACCCCTTTAATTTCCCCCTCTCATGCGCCTATAGAGCTTTAGGGGCCTGACAGAATTTCTTTTGACTGCTGTATTATCAACCCGCCCACCCGACCCTCCCCTGCTTCCCAAAAGGACTGCCGTATGTTCTGCGATATAGGTGTTTCCTATGAACCCCACCCTATCCGTCATTTGTTGGCATCTTCTAGGCTATCCTACTTTTTTTAAAAAAATAAATATTTGCAGGGAGCCAAGTAACATCTGGAAAGAGACTGCAGCATCCATTTAACCCTCGTCTTCTTTCCCTTATAGATCTGTTTCTTGGCCTTCTGCGGAATCATCTGTAGGATTCCTCGTCTATCCTAGATCTCCCTGTCCCCAGCCTTGATTTAAGATTCTCTGTTTTCTTCCCGTAAAGAGCCGCTGTAGAAGTGGATCTGCCTAGAGACTCCTTTTCTGGCCCTTCGCAGGAATGCCCCCGTTCCTTTTCCTCCGGTAGAGGCCCCTGCACGTCTTCCCTTCTGCAGATCCTTTCTTTCCTAGGCAAGCTGGAGGGAGGGAGGGAGAGGCTAAAGGGGCTCCAGATGCCCTGTGCCTCCTACCTAGAGGCCTTCCTTTTTCTGGGGAGCCAGTGACAGTTGCCTCGAAACCCTCTTCTTTGATTGGAGGAGTTGGGGAAGAGTTTCTTTTGACTGCTGTATTATCAACCCGCCCACCCGACCCTCCCGTCCCCTCCCCTGCTTCCCAAAAGGACTGCCGTATGTTCTGCGATATAGGTGTTTCCTATGAACCCCACCCTATCCGTCATTTGTTGGCATCTTCTAGGCTATCCTACTTTTTTTTTAAAAAATAAATATTTGCAGGGAGCCAAGTAACATCTGGAAAGAGACTGCAGCATCCATTTAACCCTCGTCTTCTTTCCCTTATAGATCTGTTTCTTGGCCTTCTGCGGAATCATCTGTAGGATTCCTCGTCTATCCTAGATCTCCCTGTCCCCAGCCTTGATTTAAGATTCTCTGTTTTCTTCCCGTAAAGAGCCGCTGTAGAAGTGGATCTGCCTAGAGACTCCTTTTCTGGCCCTTCGCAGGAATGCCCCCGTTCCTTTTCCTCCGGTAGAGGCCCCTGCACGTCTTCCCTTCTGCAGATCCTTTCTTTCCTAGGCAAGCTGGAGGGAGGGAGGGAGAGGCTAAAGGGGCTCCAGATGCCCTGTGCCTCCTACCTAGAGGCCTTCCTTTTTCTGGGGAGCCAGTGACAGTTGCCTCGAAACCCTCTTCTTTGATTGGAGGAGTTGGGGAAGAGGAGGAGGAGAAGGTGGTGGGGGGGGTGTACTTCCCACCCCCAATATCCTGGAGCTGGAGCTGCAAGGGAAGCAGTATCTAGGCAGCTGCCGAGACTTACAGGTGAGACCGGAGTACACAGATAATGGGTCTGGGTGGGGGACGGGATGGGCGAATGACTATTTGGGGGCTAGCCGGAAGGTTGGGGAGTGGAAACAGAAGGTATATGTTTGGAGAACAAAGAAGCTGTATTGCATTGATTCGATGAAAATCCGATTTTTCTGTTTGCTTTCTTCACCTCCTTCTCTCTCTGCCTGATCGTTCTCCTTCTGAGTAAGTCGGGGATCCTATTGCCTTGGTTGGGAAGCACACTCCCTCCCTTCCTAACTCCTTTCTCCCTCTGAAAGCTTAGTGAAATAATAGCAGCATTCTGTTTTCCTTGCCAAATCTTCTAGGCCCCAGTTCTGTTCTGGAGAAACCCAAGAGTTCTATTATGCTGAACCTGGATCTGGCACCTAATGCCCTCATGCAGAATGAATAAGGATCCTAGCACTCCAGTCTACAGTTCCAAGTCCTTTGTACTATGTTCCTTTCCTTGAATATGAGGGAGACTGGCCCCCAGTAAACACCTCTAATCTAGGCATTTGCATACTCTTCCTCCTTTGAAGCCTCGGAATCAAGGTTCAGTCCTGTCCCCAATCTACTTCACTCCATTTCTGTCCACCGGGCAGCTCAAGGGCCCTAGTTGTGATTAGAACTTATTCTGCTTTCAAGGAATCCTGCAATCCTATTTTTATGCCATTAGGTATTCCTCAAATGACAGGTTTGGTAGTTGCCATTAACAAGTCAGGCTAGAATGTTGGACAGTTGGGGGGGGGGTTGGAAATGTTTTTCAGACTGGATGCTTGTCATTATGGGGCCTTTCATTAGAAATGTAGTTCAGCAAGAAACGTTGGATGCTCCTGGAATGGAGCCTGGCACTGGATTTAAATAATGAAGTATGTCATCCAAAGTTTGTCTTGTTTTTTTTTAAAATGCTCGGTGATGGAAAGAGGTGATAGAATCATATTGGTTTAGAGGGGAGGATACACATTGGTGCTGCAGAATAATGAAGCTTGACATGATCATTTAGTGAGAAGAGGTGAGTTATTTGTTTTGAAGGTCCCATTGTGGTTAATTAAAAACTCACTTCCCTGTAGATTTTCTATGGGTAAACCAGCCCTGATACAAGTGTGTTATTTTAGGGGTATGTCAGAGACTTCCATATTCCACAAGTAAAACAAAAACAAGCAAAAAAAATTCCCCCCAAATACTAATTTGATGCACAATATATCTTGTTGAGATGATTCATACTAATTCACTTACAGTCCTTTCTGCTTTTGTGTACAATTCTGAGTTGTATATTTGAGCTTTAGTATTTAGCACTTTCATGGTGGCTGGGTGAAGGTGATGTTTCTGAGTAGAAGGCTGTTGAAGAACCAATGAACCTTTGAGCAAAGCAAGGTCTCTCCCCTCCCTCACAGACTTTTGAATATTTTCAAATTCTCTGTAGAAACATGAGAGGTACTACTTTGTTCTAATGAAATGAGAGAAGGAAGTAAATGGATGAATAATATCAGTTTGCTCAAGAATTGTTGATGGAAAGCAAGCAAATTTCTTGCCTCCACCTTTCGTGAACTGTATTCTTTGACCTGGATGTCAGGGAAAATAGCATATGGGATTTTATTTCCTCAAGGAAAATTGTATGCTATTTTGGAACATGTCACCTGAAAGTAGGATTGGAAAAGGAGTCTGGAAATAAGGGTGGTAGTGATTTCTATTGCAGTGCACTCCACAATATTCATGGTGATTTAAATGGTTTTTGTGGTTTTAGATTATATTTTACTAGTCCTGTTGCTATTCAGTATGAGTGAGTATACTGCAAGCAGTATAGTTTTTTTGTGGGATTGGGTTCTGCAATTGTTGTCAACCCTGTCTTCTTAGTTTGTTGTTTTCTGATACAAGATGGGGCATGCCATCTCCTTAGTTGTTTTCTGGCAGAGCATTTTTGCACTGTTTTACACGAAAGCTTTTTCAGAAGTATTTGGTCACTCAGATAATGAAATAGACTTTCTGAGGGGTTTCAAGATCATTTTGTCTATAATTTAGGTCTGGACTTTCTGCCCAGGTGCCTCTTGCTTGAGGCCAGAACAACTGCCTTTTGTACAATTTTGCAAATGAAAATGCTGAATGAGAATGTTTTGATAAATTTTCTTAACAGCTCAAAATGAGAGAGAGAGAGGGTCAGCTCTCTTGTTTTGTTTTGGCTAGTCAGCTGGATGTGATTGTTGCCACAAGCAAGTGGATATTTTCAACTCATTCCTGCACACCTCTTACTGAACCAGCAGTTACTAAGGTGAGGGAAGTTCTCTCTGGTTTTCTTCCATACCCTTACACAATGATTGGAGGAAGCTTCTTCCTTTCAGTGACCTGAAACTGAATCCTCAGGATGTTTTGAGCTAGATATGTTATCATGAAAGGTGCTTTCTCCTGTAATCTCCACGTTGAGCAAAGCTGTTAAAGTGCTGCCAGTATTGCTTTGAGGCCAAGGTAGCATCTTGACCAATTCAAAAGAAAAACTTTAAATAAAATACCTTGGCCGCCTTGCTAGCCAGATGGAATATTTGGAAGTAATAATGCTATCTTTACACCTGTATCTACTGATGATGTGTTTGGGAAGAGTGACTGGTTGTTGTATATGTCACCATAGTGAGATATGCAAACTAGAGACTGGTAATGATCTTTGGTCAGACATTTTTAAGAAGGCAGTATTTCTTGCTATTATTTTGTCCTTTGTCAGAACATGTGTTACCTCAAGTGCTAAGAAGTGGAGGGGTGAGTGACTTGCTCTTCCACTGCAACAACTGAAAGGACACTTGTGGAAGCCTGAGTTATAAACAAGACTTCTCTGTCCTGTCTCCCATTGCTCTTTGTGTCTTTAAGTTCCTATTTAAATACAGTATTTTGGATATGGGAGGTGGCAGTCCAGCCATAACATCTAGATCCTCTCTTGGCTTCTGCCTTTAGTTCTGATACTAGTGAAAACTGCCTCCTAACCCTTTCAGTATTGCAGCTGCTCCTTTAGACTTTTTACAAGTGGCAGGTTTGCAGAGACTGGTTGCCTTGCTGAGCCAGGCCAATAAAACATTTTTCTGGCTGGTGAAGTATGTTGGTTAGAATTGGATGGATCTCAACTATCTCTTCTTAAAGTAGTTTTCTAATGATTGCAGCAATATCTCTAAAAATGACTGCAGTGTATTCCTCTATCATGTTATTTTATATTATCTTGTTGTAACAGACTACAACCTCTAGGGGTTGCTCTTGAATTACCCACTATGTACTCAATAAGTACTGTCCCCTTCCATCCAGAAGGGCTTCAAGTTCAGAGAAGAACTCAGGGTGAAAGGTTCCTAGACCCTATAAGGAAAAGACATCAAGGCTGCAATCCTATACCACTTAGCAGAGAGTTTGCCTACTGAGCTCAGTGGGGCTGAAGTTTGAGTAGATATGTGCAATGTTGCACTGTAAGTTTGTAATCCTGTACACATTTATCAAGAGCTAACCTCCATTAAGTAGTATGGAATCTACTTCTGATTAAATGCGTAGGATTGTGCTGGATGTGAAGGAGAGGCAGGAAAAAAGGCATAGGAAGCTGCCTTGTGCTGAGCCAGATAATTGGTCCACTGTACTTTAGCCCAGTACTTTGGGCTAACTTTAACCAACAGCAGTAGTCCAGGGTTTTAAGCCATTTGTAACCCTGCCTAGAGACCCCTAATATTTGCTTGTGCTCTTCCATCCAAGTACTAACCAGGCCCAAAACAGTTTAACATCTGAGATCAAATGAGATTGCAGTGTTCAAGATGATGCTCAGATTCGCAAAGATAGATGTGCCATTCTGTATTCTCTTCATCTTGGAGTGTATTCATGCCATGGCATGGTTTAAAGGAATATGGTACTATAACTGTGCTGAAGCAAAGCAAGTCTGGATCTGGTTAGTGTCTCGCCGTAACTGTGTGAGGACTTTTTGTATATTTGGCAAAATATTATTGGTATAAAGTTGTGTCATGGAGCTAATTGACATGAGGGGCTGGTAATAATTGATTTAAATAAAATGAGAGTTTCCTATTTCCATTTCCATTTTTCAGGTTCCAAGGTGCCCTACACCTTCCTTTTGCCTTGGGAATCCTTTGAGAGACTCAGGACCACTGGAGGGGGAAACTATAATTGTTGCTGGATTGCCACTGGTGAGATCAGGACCATCAGTGGGGATCCAGTGACAATTTTTTACTATTAAATGCCCCTTCTGCCCCTATCCCAAGGCTCCCAAAGGCTTCCCCAGGGCAAATGAGAGCACTGGGGAGCCCTGGAACCTAAAACAGAGGAAATAGGAACCTTCCAGTTCATTTAAATTACAATAAACATTAGTTTACTTTAATTTTAATGTTTTACTTAACTTTAGCATGAATCAATTGAAATAGTTACAGATTGTGTGTACCTTGGTTCAGTCATTAATTCTAATGGACACTGCAACCAAGAAATCAGAAGAAGACTGAGACAGGCTGGGCAGCAACGAAGGAATAAGTAGAGATCATAAAGTGTAAAGATGTGTCGTTGGAGACAAAGACTAACAGCCATCCACACATCCAGACCTGTGGGCTTGAGGCCCTCCGATTTGTGCTTTAAAATATGCAATAATATTGCCAAGTACTGAGAAGAAGACTGGGACTAGGAAGGTCAGCAATGAAGGAACTAGAAAAATCAAGAGTAAGGCTGTGTCATTGGAAACCAAGACCAAGATCATAAATCAAGAGTAAGGCTGTGTAATTGGAAACCAAGACCAAGATCATCCACCCTTTTGTATTTTCAGTCAGCATGTATGGATGTGACAGCTGGACAGTTAATACCTTTTTGTATTTTCAGTCACCATGTATGGATGTGACAGCTGGACAGTTAAGAAAGCTGAAGGAAAAAAAATAATTTATTTGAAATGTGGTGCTGTAGGAGCGCTTTGTGGATACCCTGGATTTCCAGAAAGACAAACAACTGGGTCGTAGATCAAATCAAGCCCAAACTATCTCTGTGGG